AACTACTGAAGTTTTCACATAGAACACCAGAGAATGAACCTAAGATAACCAAATTTTTCATAATAACTGCACTTTCTGACAATATAATAAGGATTTAAGCTAAATCCTGCCAAGCGGCAAAAAAATGCCTCCGTAAATCCTGAGCTCCCGTAAATCTCAAGATGACGCCGATTCGCGATAAATCAGGGATTTACTAAATCCTGTGAATCTGGTGACTTAGTAAATCCGGGACGAGCGAAGAGGAAGAATGGCGCGAACAAGCTTACCTTCCTCTACGGTTTCTGGTAGGAGCGGGGCGGAAGAATGGGAAATATGAGTTTCGGTGGTCCCTGTAAGCCGCGATCCCGTCGTCGTCTTCCTGTGGTCCCTGTAAGCCGCGATCCCGTCGTCGTCTTCCCAGCTAGCTCTAATTGCTACTGTATCGCGAAGGTTCTCTCACGAAGGCGATGGTCGTGGGCGAAACGTGCGGGGGGAGCGACATAAGCCAGGGTTTCAGGTCAGAGATGGGAAATTTGGTGGTTTTAATTTATTTTTATTTTACATAATTTTATTATTTTAATTGATTAATACTTAATAAATAATTTATATATTATCAAATTAATTCGTATTAGATAACTTTATATGTAATTATTTAATAGTAATTAGCAAATAAAAATATATTTTAAATTTTAAATTTTAAATTATTTGATAAAATTCTAAATAATTTTTAATTTATATAATTAATAATTGATTATTAAGTAATTAGTTTTAAAAAGCTATTAATTTATATAACTTATTAAATATTAATGTAAATGCCCTCTTTTATATATTTAGAGGCTTTGGATGATCATTTATATTTATTTATTTAATACTTATGTTTGAATGTTCAATAAATCCTATTAAATCCTTGTAAAGCTGTCAAATAGAGCAATAGTCAAATTCATCGGTCTCTTTTTCAAGTCCCCTCACCACCTTCACGAGCTTACTCGCAGACTTGTTTCTAGGATCCATTTGGAAGACTCAATGAGATTCCACCAAGTGTAATTGACATCATCTTAGGATTAGCATACATAACATATCCTCACGTATTTACATAAATCACATCTAAATTTTCATATTTACATACCTACCAATCTGCTGCTCTAAAATATCGCGTGAAAAGTGTGTATATCACTTTTAAGAAATGATAATAGAGTTGTTTTTTGTATGATATTAGATATTTGAGCGTTATGTCTCTAAATATGAAAGTTTAGGAGTGAAATATGTAAATACATGAGAATTGTGTGCTATGTGTGTAATTACCCTTAAAACTTATAAAGTATACCTATTATTTATTTTTTAATAAAAAAATATGTGAAAGTATCAAAAAGTAATTCTTCACTTTGTCATGTGCATTCTCTCTTTTTAGAGGGCTAAGTTTGGAATGTTCACATATTTCATGCCAATGTTCTCTCTCCATTCATCATCTATGAAGGTTAGTGATGTAATTTGCTTAGTTTATATATGATTGAGTGAATATTCACTTCATCCTTAGCCAAAATAAGCAGTGAATGTACAATACATTTAAATTTTTTGTAGATATACCATGAAATTAGAACATAGGTATATATGTTGATTAGACAATGATTAGATATAGAGTGATCGTGTTAGAAGACGCATAAAAAATTATTTAATCTTTTTTAGATCATAATTCGAGCCATGGTTAAAAAATAATCGAACAATGATCGAGACAGATCGCTTGTGATTGAAGATAAATCATTTATTATTAAAGCATCGTTCGAATATAATTTGATCATTATTTGATTGTTATTTGAATATTCTTAAAAAATGATCTAATTCTTATTTGAAAACGGTTCGATCATAGTTTCAAGTTTATTCAAAAATAATTTGAAGATGATTTAATCAATATTTAATGATGCTTACAATATATTTAAATTGATAGTTATATGTGTTGACCTCAATATGATTTTTATAACTCGATGAATATATATGAAATGTTATTTGACGGAAGCTACGAGTAACAAACTCGACGCAAACATCAATTTCAAACTATCTTGATCATGTCGAGCCAACTCAATTGACACTTGTTCACAAAAACGGTATATGACGATGGATCCAAAATGTCATAAATAGTTGGCAAGTTTTTCATATGAATGCGCGACACAAAACATCAAGTCTAAACTACTTCGATCGACATCTTCTACATGTCAGACTATTTTATCATATGGATGGAAAAACTATCCTTTTCTTAACTATTTAAGAGTAGCCAAATTAAGGTAGATAATTTAATAAGATTAAAAATAAAAATTCAATCCTCTCACCATTCAAATCGAGTCTTTTGCATAGGCAACAGAAGAAAAATAAAGGTAAAGGGTGCGGAAGTGTATTAATTGAGAAGATAAGGGATGTTTTACCTTATTAATGTGTAATAAATTTGATATTCATTGCATTAACATTAATTTTTATTTTTTTGCATATTGATTATTTATATTTCCTACTAAGGGAGCATATATGAGGAATATGTGATATCTTATTGATTGTAAAGGCTATTGCAATGTATGATTATGTCCCCTTTTTGTTCCTTAATATAGACCTTACAAAATCCTTTTGCAAGCACTTTCCTATTTTAATTAAACATTTAGGATTATTTTATAGCAACAAGGAAAACACCACCTCTAAAATCTCCTTGATAGTAGAGGGAACCCACAACAAACGAGATTTTTTAAATGTTATATTAAGGCAAGCAATTTGAAATTAGAATTAAAAGTTAACTAATTTAAATAGTTATATATTATATGAAATGAAGACTATAGAGTGAATGTAATACAATACATTTTATACTTGGCTTTAAGGAAAAGTCTCTCATATAATATTATAGGGATTATTTATTTATAGATGTATATCACAATAATGTAGATATATATTAAACTTCTAAGAAAAATTAAGTTTTTACTATTTCATTAATATAATATATACTATGTTATTTCATTTAAAAAATATATCATTGATTAAGGATTTGGATTCATATTTATTATGTTATAGCTCTTAAATTACACTCTATTTTGATATGTTCACCGAATTGCACTCCATGATATTATGGTCAATAAGATATTTGTCTTGAATTATGCTTTGTTATCATATGATCATTGTATTATAAATCTTAAATTAATATGTTATAAATTGATTAGTTGTGTGTTGTAGCTATATTGTACATATGATGCTATTATAATAAATTTCTTTGGATTTTTTATATTATAATAGATGTGTTAAGCAACAATCTACTTTTAAAATAGTCCCCAAGCTTTATTAATTCAATTTAAAAAAAAAATTTAATTTTGAATTACCCATTAAAAAATCAAATAGAGCGATAGTCAAATTCCTTGGTCCCTTTATCGGGTCCCCTCTACTCGCAGACTTGTTTCCAGGCTACATTTGGATCCCATCGAAGCCCTGCTTATTATATTTTCCGGCGATGAAGCGGTGGTCCGGCGGTATTCTCATCCTCTTCCTCGCCGTCTTCCTCTTCCTCCGTTACTCTCTCCGGCCCAGCACCGCTGCTCCTCGCCTGCTTTCCACTCACATCAGCCCACCCCTTTCCCCCCTTTCCAACCTCTCCTCACTCATTTCCCCCCCAGAAGATCTCGTTCCTAACCCCTCTCCCACCCTGGCTTGGCCCCATCTTCTCTCCCTCCTTTCTCGTGCCGACTCCCTTCCCCCTGCCGCCGCAGCATCCCCACGTTCCTTGCAATTCCCTGCGGTCTTGTTGAAGACTCAGCCATCAATCTCGTTGCTATACCAGCCGGACCCTTCTTCATTGAGCTCGTCGGTAGCGGGACTCCGCCGCATGTCGTGCTTCGGTTCAACGTCAGCCTCGCCTCCGGCGATTCATCGAACATTGCTCAGAGCTCATGGACGCCGGAGCTTGGGTGGATCGAGTGGCAGTGGTGCCCGGAGCCTGATGGTAATCTGAAAGGTAAAGCAGGCAATCTTAGTAGGAGCTCTTTGATGAGTCCTTGGATAACTTTTTTGGGAATTGATGAGGAGAATTCTACTGAAAATGGTTACAGTTGATGAGCTAGTTCGCTGCAACGTGCATTCTGGGGAGAGCATCACTGAGGATCGGCACAATGGTAGTGATGTTGATGGAAAGAAGAGTTCTCGCTTGAGCATCAACTTCCCCTTCACTGTAGGCCACGCATTCACCAGCAATTTGTGGGCAGGAATTGATGGCTTCCACATGACGGTGAATGGGCGCCATGAGACATCGTTCATGTATAAGGAGGTAAGATGACGAAATCAATCTTGATTTTATGAATTGTTCCATAACAATGACTTGTAACGATGATTACAGAGACTTGAACCGTGGTCTGTGAGCGGAGTAAAGGTGGAGGGAGCTTTAGAGGTGTTATCATGTTTTGCAAATGGTTTACCTTTCTCTGAAGATCTGGCGTTGGCTGGCGATGTGGAGAAGCTGAAGGCTCCTAAGATTGCAAAGCGCAGGGTGTTCATGCTTGTTGGGGTGTTCTCCTCAGGCAACAATTTTGCTCGGCGGCAGGCTATAAGGAGGTCCTGGATGCAGTATGAAACTGTGAGGTCCGGTGAGGTTGCGGTGCGGTTTGTCATTGGACTTGTAAGTTTCACTCCTTCAGTTCAGACAAATTTTAATGGTAAATTTACGTACATACCAAATAATTCTTATGCATTTACATTTCTAACACTTAAAGTTTGAAATTCACATTTAGTCAATTCTGTATTTACATATCTAACGCCTAAATTTTAGTTTTACATTGGTACCAACAAAATCTTTTATATCACATAAAAATACTACTATTTTAACTCTTAAAATGTGAAATATGTCTTTTCATGCATAGATAAGGTGATATATATTGTATATAAATCTTCCTTACATTTATGTCGCCTTTGTATAAAAAAACCCGGTATTTCGCTTTTTAAAAGTTAGCTATAGTTGCATTTTTTATATGATGTCAAAGATTTGAGTGTTATGTATGCAAATAAGAAAGTTTAGGTGTTAGATTTATAAATATATAAGAATTAATTGTGTTATGTATATGTAAATGCCACAGTTTTTTTTTTTTTTCATTTGAGCTAGCATACTTCTACCAAGTAGGGCTGTCAATTTGGCTCGTTGTTCGTGAACAGCTCGTGTTCAGCTCGTTCGTTAAGCCTAACGAGCCGAATACGAACAAATTTTTAAGCTCGAAATGTAAACGAGCCGAACACGAACAACAGTTTGTTCGCTTCTGTTCGGCTTGAAACGGCTCGAAAAAAAAATTATATAACTTTTTATATAACAATATATTACATATATTATTTATATAATAATAT